TGGCTTTTGGTGCAGGGCTGCACTGCCTGGGGAAGGTGACCAGCAGCAGCAATGCTCACAGACCAGTCCAGGGCATGAGATCTGGAGTCCCCAACGGTACTCCCTGCTCCAGAGCTTGCTTGGGAGCCTCATGGGTGAGCTGAGCAGGCTGGTCTCAGCCCATTACAATGCCAAGACCCTTCTCCCTTCCCCAAGGAGGGAGGAGCATGATGCTGCTAGGTTACTCCAGTTTAGGAGCACTGGGGTGGTGGGAGCTGACAGCTTGCTGAAACCACCCCCACGCCAGGCCCTGGGAAAATCCCCGGGATCCCTTTGTCAGCCCAGCTGCAACACCCCAGCCCCAATGAGCCGCTAGTCCCAGCCCAGGGACAACAGCCATCATCTGCCTGACAGCAGGGAGCTGGCACGACAGACACTTGCTGCAGATGCACAGCAGCATGAGCAGCTAATGATACCAGGCCCACAGGGAGGGAGCAGGTGATGATCAGCAGCCAAACCGTGGGGGGCCTTTGGGCTGCTCCTGAGCACCAGCTTTGCTCCCTCATTAGTGGCTCGGCACAGGGAGCCGCAGCGGCTCCCCAAACACAGCGGCAATCCCAGCACCTCAGAGCCATGGTGCCGAGGCCTCGAGGACAGAGTGGCTGAGGCTGGCAGGGATCTGGAAATCATCCAGCCCAGCCCCCTGCTCAGGCAGGGGCAGCTAGAGCAGGCTGCACAGGACTGTGGCCAGTTGGGTTCTGAATATCTCCATGGATGGAGACTCCACTACCTCTCTGAGCAGCCTCTGCCAGGGTTTGATCACCCTCACAGTTGAAGATGGACAGCCCTTTGCTGGACTCCCTCCAGTATGTCCATGTCTTGTACCGGGGAGCCCAGCACTGGACCCAGCACTGCAGCTGTGCCGAGGGGAAGGATCACCTCCCTCCAGCTGCTGGCAACGCTCCTCCTAATGCAGCCCAGAAGGCTGGTAGCCTTCCTTGCCATGAGGGCACACTGCTGGCTTGTTGTAAACTTGTTACCCACCAGGATCCCCAGGGCTTTCTCTGGGAAGTTGCTTCCCAGCCAGTTAGCCACCAGCGTGTGCTGATGTGTAGGGTTATTCCTCCCAAGGTGCAGGACTTGACATTTCCTTCTGCTGAACTGGCCCTAGCCCCATCCCCGCATGCTCAGACAGTCTCCTTATTCCTCCTAGGTCAATGCAGGTAACCCGCCACCTCTGATTCCTCCTCATTGGGATGGACCACTTGAGCTTGGAGGAGCTGATCCTTGGTCCTCTTGGACACCTCTTCTCTCCAGGACATGGGATTCTCCCAAGCAGATCCCTGAAGAGGCCAGCATCTGCTCTCCTGAAATCCAGGGCTGTGGTCCTGCTTTTGTCTTTTCTTCTCTCAGGATCCTGACCTTCCCCTGGCCAGTCCTTCCTTGCCTGTGAGGCCCAGCAGAGCACCACTCCTCAATCACCTGTGTCAGCAAAGGTGGTGTCAACATGCTCCAGAAGCCTCCCGGGCTGCTTGTGCCTTGCTGGGCTGCCCCTCCAGCAGATACCAGGGGCATTTCAGCTACCTGTAAGGACCAGGGCCTTCTGACATGGGGCTTTTTCCAGAAGCCTGAATAAGGCGGGCTGCTAATCCTGACCCATCAGCCCTCAGCTGCCACATCAGCCATCATCCCAAAGAGGCTGCAGCCCTGTAAGTGCTCACAGCCTGCTAATTGCTCCTGTCTGCCCCCCACCCTCCCCACATTAGTGGCCCCTGCACATGCCCACTTCCCAGCAAGACCATGAGAGCTTGCCCACAACGCTGTCCTGCTGGCACTGCCCTAACTGTACCCCTATACTGAAGCAACCCCACTTCAATCCTGTTTTGTTGGTAACAGAGTCCTTGCTGTTCACCACCACTCCACTCCACCCCAGCCCTTTACTTGCCCACCCCATCCACCACATCCCCACCCGAGTGAGGATTGTCCCCTCCCCTGCCATTCCCAGTTTAAAGCGCTCCTTACCAGGTCAGCTGGCCTGCTGGCAGAGGTCACCTGAAGATGACAGGAGAGTGCTCCCTGCACCTCGGCAGGGATGAGGGTGCTGAACCTATGCCATAACCACAAGCTTTTGGGTGGAGCAGGAGCCATCCTTCTGCTGCCAGGAGTCATCAGGACAACCTTCACCATTGAGGGCATTTCCACTTTCAAACCTGGCAAACGCACACTCTGCCACCATAGTTGAAGGTTTGGGCTCTTGTAGCTGTAGGGTCTCAGAGATGATCCAGTTGATCTCTTTCATGCCCTCTCTGATGCCATGCAGCCTGCTGACCTCCTCCAGCAGCTCCTCCACTTAGCAGCACAGTTCCAGGATGCACAAAACCACACACCTCTTGCAGGCTGCCAGCAAGGTGCACCAACCCCAGCAAGAGGCCCCAGGCACCCTCTGCAGCTCAGGGCTGGCCAGGCTGCATCCTCCAGCATTGCAGGAAGAGTTGCTCCAACGGCTGCTGAGGACTGTGACCTTGGTGTGCCAAGGACATGTGCTGCTCCGAGAAGAGGCGCTGGCACTTTCTAAAAAACCCCAAACCCACAAAACCAAAAAAAACCCACCACCAACCCCAAAACAACCCACCTCTCTGCACAAACTGCTGCCTCTGTCAGCTGCACTACAGTACCTGTGTGCGGAGCCTGGCTCTTATATAGGCTTCTCCCTTGCACTGGCTAAGGGGTGCTGGCCCCTCCCTAACCTGGGCGCAGCTGGCACAGGGGCTTCAAGCCTTCCTTCCTCAGGGGCAGCTGGTAGAGCTCATCAGAAGCAGCTGGAGCTTAAGAGAAACTGGCCAGAAGTCAAGGTCTCCTGGGGCTCTCCTTCCCTTATCTTTTCCTTATCCCCATCCTCCCCAGGCAGCAGCAGGCACCCTCGTGTTCCTCAGAGAGTTCCCAGCAGTCCCCCAGTGACCCCAGACAAAGTGTCCAGAAGACCAAGAGCATCTCAAAGAAAGCAGAGCCCAGAAACTGCTGTGCCAAGTGCTATGTCTGTGGCTGCCTCTGTTAGCTGCGCTCCCCCACATCGTGACAGGAACCAGAGGATGCTCCCAGCCCCCACACACCTCCCCTGGCCTTGTCTCAAGAAAAGTCATTTTCCTCCTCCCAGAATAGACAGCGCCGGCCATCGATCTGCTCTGCAGCATTGTTTGCCCCTGGGCAGCTCTGCTTACAGAAAAGGCCATCCTCAACCCAAACAGACGCTTCCGCTGTAACCCAATCCCATGGCTGGGGCTGGGAAGAGGAGCCTGCAAGATGGCTAGCAGAGCCCCTCTGCACCCCAGGGGAAGGCGAGGCTTCACCCCTGGTCCCAGCACCTCCACAGGCCCCTATGGGTTGGGGGTGGCCCTTGGCACTGCTGGACTGTGCACCCATCGCCCCCAGTCCCACACAGCCAGGCAGGTTGCAGTGATGTGCCCTTGGCCCCAGGTCCCTGCACGGTCCCCAGACCCAGGGTGGGGAGCTGTGGGCAGCCCCCTTTGGGGGTGGCACTGGCCCTCCACAGGGGCACACGGGCTGGCCCCACGGCTGCTGCCAGCCTGCCCCAGCTCCGGCAGGGTTTGTTCATCCCAGATGGGCATGGCCATCGTCCTGGGGGCTCCATGCAGCACAGCTCGAGGGGGCAGCAGGGGAGCCGGGCCAGAGGAGAGGTGGCTGTCGGGCTGTGTAAGGGGGGTCCCCGGCTGCTGAGCGCCTGCAAGGTCCTGCTGGCATGGCCAGAAGAGCCCAGCCCAGCTGCCACCCCACGGCCGGGCAGAGCAGCCGTGCCCAGCCTGCTCCGGCAGCAGGGCCCCTTAAGGAGCTGGGCCCCTGGCCAAAAGCCCCCTCCCTCGCTGGTCCCCGCTGGACCTATTTTGGGCAGGAATGAGGAAGCTCTTCATTCCCCCGCTAAAAATAGGGACCTTTCTCAGCGGCGGGTCGCCGCGTTCACACTGGGGCGCGGGGCTGGCGGGGGGCAGGCAGG